CAGGTGTAGCTACTGCAGCCACACCTTCCATCTTCCCCGGCACACGGCAACATCAATAACCGACCCCCATCAGCAGCTCTGACAGCTGTTTCAACCTCACCCTCTCTGACAATCAGAGGGCCCCGTGGAGTAACCGGCGTTACACGAGGTGGACCACACGACCGTAAAATTGCCAGGGCTCTGGGTTCAGATCCTGGCCTCACTGCTGCGACTGAGTGGATCTGGGGGGGCGAGTCCATCTCAGTGTCCTTGCCAATGACCCCCGCCCCGCCGCCTCCTACAGGAAGTGAACGGGAACCGTCAGCCTCCGGCTGTTGCAGGCACTGCAGCCCCGAGCAGCCCAGACATGCGGAGGCCTCTCCACGGCACATTCAGACCCTGCCGGGTGCCCAAGCCCAAGAGGCAAGAACGAACACCTTTGACATTTGCCGCCTGGACAGACGTGTCACTACAACTGCCACCTCCGAGGGTCTGCTGGCGCTACCAAGCAGCCTCCTCTTGACTCGATTTCCCACCTGAAGACGCGACAGCCAGCGCCGGCCTCTGCCGGACACACGCTGCCACTGAAGATCCGGGCTCCCGCGACGTGCAGAACACACCGGCTCCGGCGAGACGGGCTCCTGAGTGAGTCCCGTCTCCTGCCAAATTCCTCGCCCAACCCCTTTGGGAGCAATCAGCCGACATGGGGCCCAAAGCCGGGTGGAAGGCCCCGGAGGTCTGGGCACACTCCCCGCCACCTGGCTGGCCCTGCCTTCCCGATACCGGGGACCACTGGCTGGCAGCCATCAGCTCTCAGCCCTGGGCGCACCCACCCCGTTCCTTTAAAGTGTGCCCAGGCATCCTCAGCCCCATCAGGTCCAGCACCGTCCTCTCCCACCTGGGGAAAGGCAGGGGTCTCCCACCAGCATCCCTGGGCCCGCCTGGCCCCCCACACAGCCAGAGGGTCCTCGTGAACCTTCTCACCCTTCAGCAGGGTCCAATCCCTCCTCGGTTCCAAACCCTCCCCTGCTCCCAGCTAACTGAGTAAAAGGCAAAGGGCTTTCGATGACCCGGAGGCCCTCCACCCATCTACCAACGTGTGGCCGCTCCCCGTCCCTCGGGCCCAGCCTTGCCACTGCTCCAGCCCTCCGCCCTCCACCTGCCTAGGATGCCCTTCCAGACCTTGCACAGCCCAGCCCTCCTCCAGTCCAGGCTTGTTCTGGGCCTTCCCAGCACTCGGACCACCCTCCCCACTCCTCACACGCTGGGCTGTGTTGGGTTTGGGGTTTCCAGAGCATTCATGGTGCAGCGTGCAGTATAAAGCTGACCATTCACTGTCTCTCTCCCCGTTAGTGGGATGGGGGTACACGACAGAGGCACACGGTGGGAGCTCAAAACGCCCTTTGCTGAGGGAATGAGGGACTGTGGGTGCCCCAAGGCCGGCAGCAGCATGGTTAACCCGGCAGGGGGAGCTGTCTGTGCGTCCAGGGCTCTGGGCTGGACCCTACAGGGACCCCTGAGACGGAAGGGTGCTCTCCGCGAGCCGGGATCAGGGCATCGTTTCTAAGAGGGGGGTGGGTAAGCAGGGGGAGGCTAAGAGCAAGGAAAGCAATCTGAAAGCGGGCACTGAACTGCAGCCATGTGCTGCAGGGGAAGGAAAGAACTCTACAGCTGTGTGCGGGAGACCCGGAGAGGATCCGACGGGCACAGCTCAGGACAGGAAGCCCTGCTCAAACACGATCACGGTGGGCAGAGCAGCAGCTGAGGCCAGGAGTCGGCACCACGCCCAGCAGGCCTCCCCTGTGGGGCCTGGGGTCCGACCTGGGCCCCTCACGAAAGTCTGCCCTGAATCACAGCCCGCATTTCACGAGACCAGTTTCCAACAGCCAGGTCAGTGGGACTCGCCGTGCTGGATTCCAAGCCAGTGTGTTCAAAGCAGAGCCTCCGTGTGCCCACGTCAAGCCCCCACCTTATGCGTGGCACTCAGGTGAGGGCTCAGCAAGGAGTCACGGGACAGCCCCCGGCAGCCCAGCAATGGGGAGGGTGTGAGATACGGAGAGGAAAGCACTCAAAAGGGTGACACCACGTAGCACGCGTTTGCCTAAAACTCATTCAGGGTTTGAGAAACTGCCTAAAAACAAAGTCGCTCACCCATTTTACCCTTAATTTCTCAAGAGCTGAAGGAAAAGAGAACTCCGTGTGGGCTGCGGGCCGAGCAACTTGCCAACGTGCGTATGCGCGGGTGCTGAGTGGGGGGACCCACGGGCCCAGGCGCGGGGCGGGCTGGGCTTCACGTGCAAGCGTCCCAGGAGAGCTGGGGGCCAGAGGGACACAAACAGACCCCCCCCAGTTACTCAACGGGTGGGTCCCGGGGGCACTGGGAACCTGCGGGCGCATCAGCGAGCCTTCCGGGGAGGCTTTGCAACACGCCTGCCCGTCTCCCAACAGTGCAAAGCCGGTCCTCCCTGCGGAGTCCAGTCCAGGCCGCGAGGGGAGCACAGGCGCGAAGGAAACATCCCAGAGCTCAACAAGGCGATCACACGGGCACCTGGGGGCAGGGGTGGGGGGCGATGTGTGTAAGGCACGATGAGCGGAAACCGTTTCCAGGTCGTCGGGAAGCGGCACAGAGGCGCCTCGTTGGCGCCCCTTCCGGTAAGAGCAGAAGAGAAGGGAAGACTTTCTTCTCTGAGGCGGGGCCCCTGGGGACTGAAGGCAGATCAGACCGAGAGCATTTCCTTGTGGGCAACGCTGAGAACTGTTTTCAGTTTAACCTGCACCAGCTGTAGACTGTCCGGGATACACCATTAATCAATCCAAAGAGAAGCCTCATTTTCGTTACCCATTGAGTTAGGGACCTTCAAACACCATGACCTAGAATCGCAGCAGAGCGAACTCTGTTCCCCACGGTCACGGGGATCTCAGGAAGGACGGCAGTTCGCCGAGAAGCAAAAACCATCCCATTTTGTCCTCCACCCGGCACGTGTCCCTGCACTGCAGAGATGGCTCCCGGCCACCGGCGCCAAGGCCCGGGTGTGCCTGGCGGGGCGAGGCTGGAACCACGCACTGCGGCCAGGCGGCCCGGTCTTTCCCACGCCCGGGTCTGCGGCCAGCATGACCCCCTCCAATTCCTCAGGGAGAGCCCAGCGGTCCCCAGGCCTTAGGTGAACAGCACCCCCCACCCCAAGGCCCTGAGCGCACACAGCCGCAGGCCAGGCCACGGGCCCAAGTGAGGCAGGGCTGGGCCCCAGCTCCAGCACAGCAGGAGGGCAACCCCGGGACGGCGGGCAGGGCAGGAAGGGCGGGCGCTGGCTCAGTAGCAGTGGCTCCTTGCTCTGACCCTGCGGGGCCTCTGTGCGGTGCTGGGGACACAGCAAGGCCTCCGGTGCTGTGGGTCACAGACACACACACACACACAGTGACAGGCCGTTAGAGGGACAGGCAGCGGCAGAGGCCGGGCCCAGCGAATGGACCCTGAACATGCAGCTCGAGCTCAGGGTCTCAGGGGATGAGCCAGGACCACAGCAGCGCCGGGATGGGCCAGGGAGGCCAAGGCCGGTAGGACCGGACCCGAGGCCCCACCCACTCCTCCCTGCCCCGGAACACCCTCGGACCGATGGACGGGCCACCGCCTCACCTAGATGACAATGACCGCAAAAGGCAGGCCAGAGGAGCAGCCCCCAGTGCCCATACAGCCCAAACGCGGCCACTTCCCCAAGAGGAGGCCTGGGGCCCGGGACTCAGCCCACCTGCAGGGGCCTTTCTCAGGTGGAGAGGGGCTCCCTGAGGGTAACACACAACTTCGCTTCTTAAGGGCAATCTTCCTTTTATGGTGCAACCTAGCGCAGGGGCAGCCCCTAGAGCCCCTGGGGTGCAGGTTCCATTTCTTTCAAGGGGTTTCACGAAGGTCACAGACTTTGCCTAAGCAGAGCCGTTCAAACTAAGTGGGAAAACGACAGGAACCAGAAGTGGGACAAGAAACGCTGACCTCTCTGAGCTTGACAATCACTGAGAATTCTTAGAGGCAGGGAGTCTGACCTTACTGTGCAAATCCCCTATTTGACACTTCTCAAGACGCTACTGAAACCTGCTGAACTAGCAAGGTCCACAGCGGTTTGTCAAACTGCAAACAACTGCCTTAAAAAAAAAAGTTTTATGCTGACAGTGTTACTTATTCCAAAAACAAAGGGTACGGTGACCTGCACTTTTGTTTTCACAGCAGGAAGAGACAGTTTCTGCATCCCCCAGCCCGCAGGCCGCCCGGACCCCCGCCTCGCCACCACACTGCGAAAGCAGAGAGGCGCCATTCCAGGGACCACGTCGGCGAATGACAAGGATGCCAACGTGGCTCCCGGACCAGCTTCCGTCAGGCCCTGAACCCCACTTCTACTTTTTGAGGTCTCCTCCAAACGCTGGGCAAAGACCCAGAGTCATCGACATGCAAAACGAGAAAACAGAGCAGGCCCTGCCAGCACGGACCCAGCCGTGCGACCGAACGACTCTCGATCACAGGCAGGGAAGGCCTCGCCCACGCCGGCTACTGCAGAGGCTTCTGTCCTCTCCCTCTACAAGTGAGGCAGACACACGCCACCTCACCCCAAGATGCTTGAGCAGAACAGACACTCAACCAGTCAGGAGCCCCACAGCCCAGTCATTAGGAAGACACTGAATATGAGGTTAAAGCAAGCAGGTGATCCAGAACAGCCAACCCCCGTTGCTAGGCAGCAGGAGCAGGCCAGGCCCTTCGCTGCAGACCTGCCCCAGGAGGAAGCAGGCGACTCGGCCTCCACGCCCGCCTCGCCCCCACCACCCCCGGGCCAGCCCTGCCCACGCAAACAGAGTCAGAGCTCAGAGCAGCAGAGGCTCTCAGGACCCCCGAGCCAGAGCAGCCCGGGGGCCCAAAGCGCCTCTGGGACCGCAACTCCAAGCGGACTGAGGGCGCTGCCGTCGGCTGCCAGCAGCGAGAACGGAGGGGCCGCGAGCTCTGGCTCAGCCCCGGTGCCCAGCTCTCGGCCACTACTCACAGCCGTGGTAGGAGGCCGGCGACCCCCCGGCCTTGCCGTACTCCTGCTCCGAGTGGCTGGTGGACAGGTTGGGCTGGCTGGAGCCCCGGCCAAAGGTGAGCTGGCTGCTGCCCATGCCGGTGGCCACCTGGGCCATGCGTTCCTTGGTCTTGAGCGCCTGGGCCCGCTCGGCCTTCAGCCGCTCCTCGTCCTTCAGCAGGGCCACCAGCTGCTTGGCCTTCTCACGCACGTTGACGCCCTGGTCCTTGCCGTCGCGGTCGACGTACTGGAAGTCCTTCAGGGTCTGGATGGCGAAGATGTTCTCACGGCACTGCTGGGCCACACGCTCCGAGCCCGTCTTGATGAGGTAGTCGAGCAGCGTCAGCGCCTTGTACACGTGCCGCCAGTTCTTGCCATGGTCGTTGAGCCGCTTCCACACCATGCTCATGATCTCCGAGAAGGCCACCACGTTGTAGGTGAGGTCCGCGATCTCCGTCATCAGGGAGCTGGACGGGCCCCACGGGTCGTTGGAGGTGGCTTCCCGGACTTTTATTTCGGCTTCCGAGTAATTGTTCACGATGTTTTTCATCTGTCGTCTGATAGACGAAGTCGTCATCTTTACTTTCTCTGTGACAAATGTAAAGCCCTTCAAAGAGAGAAGCTTCCCTGTCCCAGGCAGGTTCGCAGCCCGTGAAGGTTCAGTCTCCGTAATGGGTCTGGAGCAGGGTCCCTGATGGTCATTTCCTCTGTTGGAGCCTCAGGTCCGAGAAGCTGGAAGCCATGACCTAGAGAAAGAAGACAAACGTTACTGTGCACGAGCCCCCCACCCCCGGGACGGCAAGCATTTTGCAAACAGCAGGCACTGGTCAGCCGGGGCGGTGAGTGGATGTCCTCCAGCCCCCAAGGACAAAAGAGATGCCACCTTCCCTTCAAAACTAAGATGAGATCGATATTACAAGTTAAAAATGAATAAAGTTTGGGACCTCCCTGGTGGTACAGTGGTTAAGAACCCGCCTGCCAACGCAGGGGACATGGGTTCGAGCCCTGGTCCGGGAAGATCCACATGCCGCGGAGCAACTGAGCCCGTGCGCCACAACCACTGAGCCTGCGCTCTAGAGCCCGCGAGCCACAACTACTGAGCCTTTGTGCCACAACTACTGAAGCCCGCGCGCCTCAATGAAGAGTAGCCCCTGCTCGCCGCAACTAGAGAAAGCCCACATGCAATGAAGACCCAACACAGCAAAAATAAATAAATTTTTAAAATGGTTAACTTTAAAAAAAAAAAGGAATAAAGTTTAAACTCAAGTTTAAGCCTCTGGAAGGAAAGCAGTAACACTGTAACTACTGTTCTATTTTCAAAACACTTCCACTGGATCGGCTCTGCTGCGATTGTGTTTTTTTTATAAATTTATTTATTTATTTGATTTGATTTATTTTTGGCTGCGTTGGGTCTTTGTTGCCGCGTGCGGGCTTTCTCTAGTTGTGGAGAGGGCGGGCTACTCTTCGTTGCAGTGCGTGGGCTTCTCATTGCGGTGGCTTCTCAGGAAAGTCCCCGATTGTATTTTGATTGTATTTTTCTTCCACCGCCAGGCAAAAGCCAGCTAGAACAATCTAATGTCTGTCTACACTGGCTTGGGCACCATGCTTCTAACTGCGGGGGATTCTCCGTGACCACCTCTTCTGACTTCTTATAAAGGCTCCCAACTCCCCTTCTAGGACAGGGCTCGGGCCCTCCACCGGGCTTTCAAAAGCCTCCGGCATCTGGCCCGAGCTGTGCAGTACAACCTTACAAATAATCTGGTTCTACCCCAATTTCCTCACTTCCCAGAGGAGAAAACTGACGGTTACACATTCACAGGACACCCAGCCCTTTGCCACAAACACACCTCTCCAGGGAAGAAACTTCTGCGGAGCTGGAGTGAGGTCCACGCCTCTGGCCACGGGCTCTGGTCCAGAGTGTGGGGATCCCAGCTGGCTTGGTCACCAGTGAGCGCCCAGCACTGTGCCTGACGTGGGTAATAAACACTGCTGATAGATTTATGAAACAGATTAGAAACAGTGTCCCTTCCCTCAGGAAGGCACAGTCTGGCAGGGGACAGAGGTGAGCACAAGGCGTCTGAGGATGCAAATCCAGAACAACTCGGCCGGCTGCTGGGGCCGCAAAGGCGGGCACGGAGAGCACTTTCTGCACAAGTAACCTGCAGGGAGGTCTTCAAAGGGGGAGACTTCCGGGAGGCGGCAGGGGAGTGGCTGCTGGGTGATTCCTCTCCTCCAGAAGGAGGAGCCAGGCCCAGAGGCCACAGGGGCCGCCAAGGACAGAGCAGTGCAGCCGGGCGGGGACAAAGCCAGCAGCTGCCCCACACTCCACCCCACCCCAGCCGCCTCTGGGCCTCTGGCCTGGGAAGGAGCCGGGTGGCCTCGGGCCCGGCTGTCCACAAAAAGCCTTCCAGGTAAGGATCGTTCCGGCCCTGGTGCAGACGGGGAGCCCGGGCCCCCAGGGAGGACCCGCCGCCTCACCGCGGCCCCTACGCTGGGCTGCTCCTGCCAGAGGGACGACGGACGGCCCCCACCGGGCCCCATCCACAGCCTCAGAAGTGAGGGAACAGAAGTGTCGGGAGGGGAAGCCGCGGGAAATGCCCAGTCCGCACAGGGAGCCAGCGGACAGGGGGAGCACAGAAGCCCACCCTAGTGACAGTCGCACACGTGCCCCTCAGCAGGCCAAGAAGCCTGCTTCCTTCTGAAGCCACAGAGCGTACGGGCTTCCGCGTGGGTGGGCACAGCCTGCCCCCTCACTGACCAACCGGCTCTCACAAGCCCTCTACCGTGTGTCCCAGGACCAGGGCCAGGCGCTCTGATGGGGACCTGCGTGCGTGATGTAGCCAGGCTGGCCGTCCACGCCGGCGAGAGGACGGGCCTCCAAGGGGAAGGGCTCCGACGTCCCAGAGCAAACGCTCGCCAACGTCACACCAGTCACCCGAAGTCCCCAGGGCCCAGGCCCACCCGGCACTTTATCTATCACCCACGGGGGGCTCGGCAGGCATGAGCGCCCTGCTCCTCGGAGAAGCAGGTGGGCTGGAGAGACCCCGGCCACCTTCCTCCAGGTCAGGAGGCATTCCGAGGAGGCACGAGAGCAATGGTCCTGGTAGACAGGCCTCAAATGGTTAAATACGTAATGAAAAGAAACCACGTCCTGGGGGAGAGATGCTGCATCGGGCTCTGCTGCCCATCCTCTAGGCTGGTGCCCTCCCGGGGTAGGCCGCGAGGCCCAGCCAGGGCACCCCCCCGAGCCTCCCAGGCCTTCGGTGGCAGAGAAAAGGCAGCCGTTCCCACGAGCGAGGGCTGGGTGCCTCCGCCCTCCCAGACCCAGGCTGGGAAAGGAACCCGGACAGCTGAGGAAGAGGGGCTTCGGCCCAGCTTGCAAGGACGCCTATTAGCAGTCTCTCCGAAATACTTCGGCTTTGAGAGGGGAAAGCTAATGGAATACGTGTTACAGCCAGAGAAAGCGTAGGGGCGTGCTGTGAACAGCTGCGCTCTGTTTTCCTAAAGCTACAGAAAGGGCGGGATGGGGGTAAGCAATTCCTGAAGGGGAAGGGGCCCCAAAGGCGCCCCCGAGGAACCATCCTCAGGGCCCACCTGCTCCGTGCCTGCCTCACCTGAGACTGCAGGTGAGCCTCTGACGCTGTGAGGGGCCTCCTGGGCCCTCAACGGAGGATGCGGGCACTATGGGTCCATCCCACTCGCCCCGCAGACCTCAGACCTCGTTTTCCCATTTTAAAACCTCCCCCCTCCACCCCAGGATTGCCTGTAAACGCCCAGACATCTTCCTGCCAGCAAACACCCGCTGGGGCTGCCCTCAAAGCCCCAACACTCCCCAAGTGCACACCCAGCCCTGAGCTCTGCTCTCTTCTCGCTCTTTTCTGAACAGCTTGCAGGCCCCACTCTCCAAACCTTCCTCCTCGATTTGCCTTCCGCTCCCAGCTTGCTGAGCCTGCAGAGCAGCAGGCAGGAGCCAAGGATGGATCCGGACAGGACAGGACACTGCCTGAACCTGCGGGCCCACCTGGGCCCGAAGCCCCGTACCCTGCACTTCACAGCTGCAGGAGTCCTCGCGGCCACGTGTAACCGGCAGCCTGTGCGCTACGTCCTGGGCAACAGCCAAAGAGCACACTCGGAGCCTCCAGGACAGGTGCGGGGACTCCAACCAGGCCCCCAGCCACAGCTGACCCACAGCCCAGGCCGACCGAGGAGCTGCATCCCTTAGTCCTCGACACACAGGCATCCCAGCCAAACTCTGGGATCATCACTCTTTTCCGAGAGCAGCTTATAATGGTGACCGTAAAGTAACCACTGGATCACATTTGCCGAGGACAGGCTAGGGCAGAAAAATTCTGGCATATCTGAAAACACGACCAGAATTCGACTGACAGTGGAGAAATAGAAATAGAAATAGACTGAATAAAACAGCAAATAGAACAAAACTAAAAAAAACAAACAAAAAATTCCAAGGCTAGAGTGATGCCCCTGGAGGCAGGAAGAATTCCATAAAAACATGCTCCGAGGGCCTGCAGAGCTGGGTGGGGAAATTCCTTCCGAATCTGGAGTCCCGGACCAACTGTGGGAGGCAGAAGCTCTCCGTGGTCCAGCAGCCCAGGTGGGTCCCTGGTCAAAGCCCACGTGTGCCTCAGCTATCGTGCTTCTGTGATGGGGCACGGCTGGCCAGGCGTGGAGAAGATGCAGTCGGTCGGGGTTTCCACCAACCCCCCACGGAGATTTCGGGGGCTTTTCAGGGATCAGGGATCATTATCAGGGACCAGGACCAGCTATGAGGGAAAGGCAGCAAACGCCTCTCGCCTCCCCAAACCGAACAGTCACAGGCCAGGCCAGTCACGAGCGGTAGATCCCGCTGAATGAATGTACCCCAGACGGTAGCTCACACCATCTGCATCTGGCAGCCTCCTGCGACTTCCTCAAGGCAGGTGACAGCCTTCACACCCACAGGGGGAGCGGAGGGCCAGCCAGAAAAGGAAACGTCCTTCTCACTCACTGAACATGGCATCCATATCCCAACGACTCCTCGCTGGGTAGAGAAATCAAATTTTTTATCTCTATCCCAAAAGCGGGCTTAAAGAAAACTTTGCATTCATGTACTGAAAGAATTGCAAAAACGAACATGACACTTAACTTCCAGATGATAAAGCAGGTACAGGGAAACCGCCCACACAGGAAGAGCCCCGGGGTGCCAGTGAACTGGCTGTAGAGCGGTCTGACGGCCCTGCCCCCATGCTGGATGACCCCTGCCCCCTCTAACCACCCCCCCAACGAGCCACCTGGGGGCTTCTCCCAAGACACGACAGTCGCGGAACAAGCAGAGGAAAATTCAATGTCAGACGCCCTCCTGTGGACTTTACCTGTTCTTGATTTTTCTAAAAGTAGAAATCAGTACTGAAAACACACATGAGGAATTTCGTTTTTCTTTATCAATGTGGCCAATCATTCAGTCTCTGGGAAGAGCAGCCCTGGGCGCAGATTACACAGGTGTTGAAACGTGGTCATTTTAAAGGATGATGTGAAGCAAGGACCGGAGTTGGGAGACATGGTTCTGGCCATCCGACAACGCAGTCACTTAGAAATGGGGATGTGACAAGCTGCACCTCCCTCACAGGGTCGAGGATCAAACACCCTGACGGCTGGACCACGTGGATGCACAAACGTGCCACAGAGGACAGAGTCCCTTAGCGCTCCCCCACCTCTGCCACTCCTCAGAGTAGCTTTGCAAATGACCAAC